GGGGTGGGCATCTCTCTTTCCTGATTTTAGATTCTACTTGACACACCTGGCCTCATCAGCCCTGTTAAACAGAAAAGGTAATAGCTGTGGAAACAGGTTTGTTGAGGGAAAGGTGTTGAGAAGGTGAGGAGATTCCATCAGAGGGGCTGGAAAACCCCCTTATCATACCCTATCCCTCATTAGGAGTATATCAGTCATAAGACCCTTCCTGACCTAAGTTTGTCTGTCCCTCAGGCACCATCTGGAGCTTTCTTTGTTGGAAGATCCATGGAAGAGCATGGAATCTGCTGATCTGGGTTAGACTCATGATGGGAATCTGAAGCCCAATTTACATGGTCACGACCTCTTGTTCCTGGTAGTTTGGGGGATGGGGGTTGGCCCAGAGCCCATATCATGGACATTTTGGGGGGGTGGGGAGAGAGTGGTCATATATTTGTCCTGCTGCCCACCCTGCCACCTTCTAGTTGTGGTCCTTGTGGATGTCTCAGACAAGTGGACTCGGAACCAGCTCAGGCCCCAGGTGCTCCAGTGCCTGACCCAGTTCTCCCAAGTCCCTAGCATCCTTGTCATGAACAAGGTGAGTACCACCTACCTGAAGAAGGGGTCTGCTTTCCTCCATGGTGCCCATCTCACTGACCACACACCCCTCTGCCCGTCCTCCATGCCCAGGTAGATTGCCTGAAGCAGAAGTCTGTTCTCCTGGAGCTCACAGCAGCCCTTACTGAAGGTGTGGTCAATGGCAAGAAGCTCAAGATGCGGCAGGCCCTTCGCTCACAGCCTGGCACTCCTTGCCCTAGCCCAGCAGCTAAGGGCCCAAAAACACAGTCTGTGGGAGGCCCTCAGAGGATTGGCTGGCCCCACTTCCAGGAGATCTTCATGTTGTCAGCCCTAAGCCAGGAGGATGTGAAAACACTAAAGGTCAGTTAGCCTTGGCCGTAGCCTGGCCTCTGATTTCTGCCATGTGAAGATAAGCCTCAGAGTTCCTCCTGGTAGTGAGAATGAGTAGGAAAGTCTTGGTTGGGACTGAGCTGCCCCCCTACCCCCCTCTGTACCCACAGCATTACCTCCTGGCACAGGCCCGGCCAGGACCCTGGGAATTCCACAGTGGAGTCCTCACTAGCCAGACGCCTGAGGAGATCTGTGCCAACATCATCCGAGAGAAGCTCCTAGAACACCTGCCCCAGGAGATGCCCTATAGTGTGCAGCAGGTGCGGGCACAATGAAGGAATCTGGGGGCTCTTCACCATGCACACACCCAAGACAGGACACCTGGGGCCCGGAGAGGTAGGGATATGGGTCTGTCTGACTAATCATGTCTCCCTGTGCAGAGGACAGTGATGTGGGAGGAAGGGCCAAGCGGAGAGCTGGTGATCGAACAGAAGCTTCTGGTGCCCAAAGAATCTCATGTGGTAAGCCGGGTTAGGCTTGGAGAAAGGACCAGGGCATTAGGCAGGGGTTCTTCCTCCACTGCCTGGGAGCCCTGAGAACTGGCTTGTGTGTGTGTCTCTCTCTCTTACCCCACCCTCAGAGGATCCTGATTGGTCCAAAGGGGCACTTGATCTCCCAGATTGCACAGGAGGTGGGCCGCGACCTCATGGACATCTTCCTCTGCGATGTTCGGCTCCGCCTCTCTGTGAGGCTTCTCAAGTGACCACCCTCTGCTGCCTTGCCCAGGGCGTCTCAGCCAGAGCTGCTGGCAGGGCCACTGACCAGAACGGCCCCTGCCCAGGGACAGGGACTGGTGAGAGGTGTGGGCACTGCCTGCCTGCCTGCCTGACTGGCGGCTGGCTTGGCCTTCCTGAGTCTGCCTAGCCCCTGCCTGACCACGTCTGTTGGAGGAAGTAACTTATCTTAGCTCAGTTCCCAGGTCGTTCCTCTGCCTGCGGTCCCAGCTGCTTAGGTCTAGAAGTTGGCTCTTTGGTAGGAACAATGCCACCCTGCTTCTGGCTGGCAGCGAACCCAGAGTTCTTCCCTGAGTTGCCAGTTTTAGCAGAGAGGGCTTTTTCCTGTCCACTCAGTTCCTCTACCTTAAAGCTGCGCGTAAGAACCTGTGGGTCCTAAGTGAGATAGTGCCGCTCACTCCATCCCTCTCCCCAGTCTTGGATGCTAATAAAATTAAAAAACAAGCATACTGGTTCTCATCTTTATTTCTTTTTTTTTTTTTTTAAGATTTTATTTATTTGAGAGAGAGAGATTGAGAGAACGAGTGGGAAGAGGGGCAGAGGGAGAAGCAGACTCCCCACTGAGCAGGGAGCCCGACGCGGGGCTCGATCCCAGGATCCTGGCATCATGACCTGAGCCGAAGGCAGACGCTTAACCGACTGAGCCACCCAGGCGCCCTCATCTTTGTTTCTTATAATAGGAAAGAGAAAACCCATTCCCTCACCCCCACCCTGTTGTCTGAACTGGAGTCTCCCTCCCTCCCAGTGGTCTGTTCCAGGGTCCTGAGCGCTCTTCTTGGCACGTGTTCTGGGTACAGCAAGAGAACCATTACCATTACTAAACTCAGTAATGGTAACGGTTTCCTCGCCATCCCCAAGCGTCCCGGCGGTCAGCAGGCTGTGATGCGCTGAGCGGCGAGCCCAGCGGGTTTGCGGCTTCCCTGGCCCTCGTCTGGCTCCAGAGCTGTGGGGACCCGGACTAGTACATCATCTATACTGTAGTATCTCATCGCAAACTTACAGTATATGATGATATCCCAGCCAGGGCCCTGCAGCAGGCACAGGGAGCACGGCTTGGAGAGCACTGTGGCAGGGAGGGCCAGGGGCTGGGGCAGAGCAGGACAGGTCAGTGCTGGACACACACAGCTCCCCACTCCCCACTCCATAGCTCCTGGGCCAGCAGCTCCTTGATGGTTGTGGTCAAGGGCAGCCCAAGTCAGGTAGGGAAGGGGCCTGGCCCGGAGAACCCTGCAGAGCTAGGGTCTGTTGAGATCTCCTTGGGGACCCAGTGTCAGAATTAAACAAGCTAGAGATCACATAGTGAGGCAGAAGGTTCCCTCTGGTCAGACCAACAAGCAGACAGACAGGCCCAGGAGGGGTACTTACCTGGGGCTGGAACTGCAGACTGGGGAGGCCTTCAGAGGTAAGGAGGCCCTGACCCTGCCTCTCCACTCAAGCTGCTGGCCTTTTAATCCACTGGCCCCTCCCCTGGGTGGGGCACTTTCCCGGGGTTCTAGAAAGCCCCACCTCTTAACCCTTTCCCTGCTGGACTCCTTGGAACTAGGGTCACTGGCCCCTCTCTCTACTAGGCCCTTTCTCCCATAAATTTCATGGCCCTTGCTAAGGCTAGGGTCTGCCTTTCACCCCTCTCCCCGTGAAGCTGATCATCTCTCTGCTGGGCCTGGGAGGAGGAGGAACAGCCTCACCGCATCCTTCAGGGTTCAATTGTTGGCTGTAGCCCAGCTGGTGGTGGCAGTCGTGGTGGTGGTGCTGGTGGCGGTGGATCTGTTAGTTGAACCTCTGTAAAGCAGGAAGGGTCCTGACAGCTGGATTCTGGGGCAAGCTCAGGCTTAAATTTCAGTTCCTGGGCCCCTGCCTGTGTTTATGCTGAGCCCAAGGAGGGTAGACCTCGGCTACCTCTGCTATGGCAAGCTCCCCTGGGTGGACGGGGTCCTCTGTGAGTCATTTGAGGGCAGGGAATTCAAGCTCTTCTGAGAGCCAGCCTAAGAATGGGTAGGGGCCTGTTCAGAGCTCAAGCCACTTACAGTGTGAGCCTGGCAGTATTCAGTTCTCTGCCTCTGGGCCAGGCAAGATTGCGGGTGTAGAGACTTCTCAGAATGGGGGAGGGAGCTCTGTTTATTTTCTTTTATGTTTTTAAGATTTTATTTATTTGAAAGAGAGAGAATGAGAGAGAGAGAGAGCACATGATGGGGGGGAGGGTCAGAGGGAGAAGCAGACTCCCCGCCGAGCAGGGAGCCCGATGTGGGACTCGACCCCGGGACTCCAGGATCATGACCTGAGCCGAAGGCAGTCGCTTAACCAAAAGAGCCACCCAGGCGCCCCAGAGGGAGAGAATCTTAAGCATGCTCCCAGCTGAGTGCAGACCCCAATGCAGGGCTTGACCCCACGACCCCCGCCCCCCCCGCCCCGACTGAGGCAGCCAGGTGCCCTGCTCTTCCCTCTGGCACAATCTTCCCTCCTTTCTTACCTAGTTAACTCCTATTCCCTCTTCATATGTAAGTAACACCTCTGCAGGCTAGTTAAATCTACCTGTTATGGGCTCATTTATTTGTGTGATTAATCATTTAGGCAAATAATCACAGGGGCCTGGTTATTGGCCAATCATGTCAAATGTCTGACATGGAGCTAAACTCAGTGTGATGTAGGGGAGGAGAAAAACTTTGGCCCGGGGAGGCAGGCAAATAAAACTGGAGCTCTTAGGCAAGTCTTTTTCTCTCAGAGCCTTCCTGTTCTCCTTGTAGACAGCAGGAACAACAGTCCCCAGTTCAGAACTGTGAGCTAGGTGACTAGCTCCTGGCAAAGCACTTAGCCAAATGAAGCAGCCAAATGCCCTTCATGGAATATTCTTGAAAGCCACTCAAGGCCATTGAGAGAGCCCAGGTTTAGAAATAACAGGCCCTGGGGCACCAGGCTGGCTCAGTCAGTGAAGCATGTGACTCTTGACCTCGGGGTTGTAAGTTCAAGCCCCACGTTGAGTGTAAAGATTACTTAAAAATAGGGACGCCTGGGTGGCTCAGTCAAGATCTGCCTTCGGCCCAAGTCATGATCTCAGGGTCCTGGGATCAGAATCCCGTATCAGGCTCCCTGCTCATTGGGGAGCCTGCTTCTCCCTCTCCGTCTGCCTGCAGCTCCCCCTGCTTGTGCTCTCTCTCTCTCTCACAAATAAAAAAATCTTAGAAAAAAGATTACTTAAAAATAAAATCTTAAGAGGGCACGTATGTGGCTTAGTTGGTTAAACGTCTGCCTTCCGCTCAGGTCATGATCCCAGGATCCTGGGATCGAGCCCTGCAGCTGGGCTCCCTGCTCAGTGGGGACTCTGCTTCTCCCTCTCCTCCCTGCCATGCTCTCTCTCGCTATCTCTGTCACCATCTCTGTCTCTCTCAAATAAATAAAATCTTAGAAAGGAAGAAAGAAAAAGGGAGGGAGGGAGGAAGGACAGGCCCTGAGTGACAGTCCCCACAGCCCCCCACATCCAGCTCTGTGACCTTGACCTTAGATGGAGTGCTCTCAGCTTCAATTTTCTTGTATGTGCAATGGGAGCAATCCATCCCTAGCTCCTATGGGGGTGACCAGGGTCATGTGCGTGCTCATCTCAAACTCCTGGGTCAGACCTAACACCTGTGGAACCAATGTTGGTGTCCTTCCCTTCTTTCCTTTGTCTCACTCACTAGCTGTTTGACTAGAGGCAAAGTGCCACTTCTCTGAGCTTTGGTGGTAACACATGGTTCACCATGTTGTAAGAACTGAGAAATGTGGCTGAGAAACATTTACAAACCTAGGCACTCTAGCCAGGTGAGAAATTATTGTATGTCTGCACCTTGCCTCCTTTCCTGTCCTGTGACCCCTCCTGCCGTGCCACCTCTACTCAGGGACCCCACAGACAGGTCAGGCTCCTTCACCAGAGTAAAGGCTTCATGCACCGAGGCCAAGATTTATGCCGCTCATTGCCTAGGCTTCTGCCTAGTTCCTGCTTAGTCCTAAGACCAAAGGTGAACATGGGCAGAAACCAGGGGTCCTGAAGGTAGAACAGAGAGATATCTCAGCCAGCCAGAGATCCTGTGGCTTTGGCCCTGGCTGGGGTGGAGGGTACTGTCATCAGGGTGTGGGCTGGAGCAGAGTCTGAACCTGGGTGGGGTAGTCTGGGGACCCTGATAAGTGGACTTGGGGCTATCAGGGTGGAGGCCCTTCTGCTTATCGGGAGCCTGCAGGGGCCACGAGGACCCGAGGACACTTCCCGCCCAGAGCTGTCTCCTGGATGGCAGCCCTTCCATCCCTTTGCCTCCTTAGAACCCTTCTGGAAGTCCAGTGGAGACTCTGCCCCTTCCCTGGCCAGCATGGGGGTGGGGGACACAATCCAGGTCCTTGGACTTGCACTCTAAATTTTATTTATTTATTTATTTATTTATTTGAGAGCACAAGCAGGGGGAGCAGCAAAGAGAGAGGGAGAAGCAGGGAGCCTGAGGCGGGGCTCGATCCCAGGACCCTGGGCTCATGACCTGAGCCGAAGGCAGACGCTTAACCGACTGAGCCACCCAGGTGCCCGTGGCCTTGCATTCTAACAACTGTTGCTTCAAATCAGGAGCTCCATTGGCTCTCCTGAGGTCAGTGTGGACTGGTCTGGGACCTTAACCTTCTCATGTCTAATTCCAGTCCCTGCCATAGCAGCTTCAAGCCTTTGACTCTTATTTTGATCTTTGGATGAACTCCTTAAACCATATGGTGAATGACAAAGTTAAGGATGGTCAGAGCTGCAAGAATCCTTCAAAATCATGGAATTCAAGTAATCCCTTTATAGAGGAGAGGAAACCGAGGCGTAGAGAAGGGGAGCGAATTGCCCCCCAGAGCTTCAGCGTTCCCTCTACCTCTCCACACCTGGGAACCCATGACCCTAAGAAGAACAGCAGCTGCAGGTACTCACAGACACACGTGGCACACACACGTGTCATGCTTACATATACACAGACGCACAGAAATACACAGCACACATACTAAAAAAAATAGATTCAGCTAGTAAATTACTCTCAGTTCCCTCTTCGTTACTCTCCTAAGTTCCATGGAGTTGACAGTTTTGCACAACGATGGTGGCCAAATCATAAGGGTCACTAGTGTCCCACTCAAAGTACAATCAACAGCAAAACTCATCCTGGAACCAAGGACTTTGAGAAGTTCCGGGCGTTCTTGCTTTCCTGTTTTGCTTTACATGCTGGGAACCCAAAGCAAGAGGCTGGTGTAACCCTAGGGGCTTACCAGGTGTGAGAAAGAAAAGCTGGAACACTGTTCTAATCTTTATTCTCTATGTGATAGATTGGGGCTTGAGATCTGGGGGACCTATCAGAGATGACTGTTCGGTTTCACTGTGGCCAGCCTGTGAAGCTTCTCCTAACCCTCCCTGACACCTGCCCCCTTAAGTCCAGGCTTTGACCCTGCTCGGTTTTCCTCATCACACG